GGCCCCAGGATTTGGGTCTGATAAGAGTCAGGATTCGTGATATGTCAATATCAGATTGAAACAATTGGAAACGTGAAGAATTGATGTTCCGGCTGACAACAAGGCAGAAGCGGCCTCACGGCAGATTACGGCGATCATCCTGTTTCTCAAACGTCTGGATTAGTACTATTGTCTCAGATATACTGTCTGAGTTCGTACTTGTCCAAGCACGCACACGCCCACGCCCCGTGCTCAAAGATCCTGCAACCTGAGAGGTCATGGACAAGACAACAATAGCGGCAGCAGCAGAGCAGAGTAGAGCAGAAGCAAGACCCTGGGAGAGCTGATGTCGTGCTCCCAGACGATAATACATGCGGTTCCGTCGTTGGCTCACAGGGCGAGTGGCTGTAAACCCGAGGTAGTGATTGGGCCGAGCGCCATCTGTGCTACTGTAATGAGCTCTCTCCGACGTGTACAGTGTCAGCCGGGTTCGGGCGGACCAAGCTGTCGGATCCTTCTATTTTCTGCTGTGGTTTGTTGTATGTACCTATGTTGAGGTTGCATTGAACTCTGTTGGAATGATCTTACATGGTTAACGAGTCAAGCCAGTCTCGTAGCGCAGTGTTGGTGGTGCCTAGTGAGTTAGGTATAGCACAGTAGTGTTTGGTCCCTAGTGTCGAATTGGGTAGATGCTGTACACTCTGAGGACCGTCTGCTTTTGTTTTTCAGCAGCTGACTTCTAGGGATCGTATTTAACCCTGCAATATTCCCTTCATGGCCCTTTACTCTAGGTAGGTATGCTGATCATCTCTTGTTGGTCTCTGTACCACTTACATGCGTGTTCAATATTCGTTTCTTTGATTCAGCCTCTTTTTTCCCTCCCACCTTCTCTTCCCTTACCTTCCCTTCCCCTTCCTTACCCTTCCCACGCGTTGCTTTTTCTTCACCTAAACACCATCCTACCTACCTACCTACCTACCTACCTACACCTCTTGGCCCACCCACACTATGGAGCCAATTGTCTCACAGGATGGTAACTCGATCGACGCCTCAAACGACGAGTCTACTATTTCCGAAGTATTTGGTCATCCTATTCTCGACTTGCATCTCACGCTTTGGGATCTTTTCCAAGATGCTGCCCATTTGAGCCCAGATGCAGATGCCATTGTCTCGCTTTGGCAACCACACAATCACTTGTCAAACGACCAACACCAAGCACTCACTGGCACTACCGAGCCATACCTAAGATGGAGCTATTCGCAGCTTAGAGACAAGGCAGAACGACTCGCCGAATCCCTAGAAAGGTTGGGCTGTCGAGAGGGCATGCTACTAGCCGTGGTTCTTGGCAACTGTGCTGAATGGGGTCTCTTCTTCTGGGCAGCGGCCAAGCTTCGCATGGCTTTTGTGCCTCTTGATGCAACCGTTCCTCTAGATGCAAAGAAGACGATCCTATCCGTCAAGCCACATGTGTTGGTGGCACAAGATACAAAAGGCGCAAAGGCTCTCGACCTTTCTGACGCCCAGATTCCACAGTCCAGTATATGTATACTGTGTACAGAGAGCGACCTCGATAGCTGGCACACGCTGTCTGCTCTTCTGAAGCCTACAGAGCAACTAGACCCAACACACACGATCACAGATAGTGTTGACTACAACCAAGACGAAGACCCAGCACTAATCATCTTCACAAGCGGAACAACGGGCGAACCCAAAGGATGTTGGCACACGAACCGCAATCTCATCTCCCAGTGCTGCGACTTTGACCCCGAAGTCAACGCCATGGGGCCGTTGAGATGGCTTATCCATACGCCCGTCTCCCACGTCTTCGCCATCAACAACGCTCTCCGCGCATGGCGCTGGAGTGGCACTGCTGTGTTTCCCTCCAAGTCTTTCAACGTGGATGCCACTCTCAAGGCCCTTGTGCAAGAGCAGTGTTCCATCATGTCAGCCACTCCCACCCTCGTCAAAGCCCTCATGGCACACCCCAGCTTTCCCAGCGCAGATCAACTCGATCTTCGTATTGTCACCATCGGCGGTACGTCCATCGGCGCTGAAGACATTCGACTCTGTCGCGAAGGCTTGGGTGCCCAGATGGCCATCCAAGTCTTTGGCATGAGCGAGGGCGCTCCCATCATCACTTGGCAGCGATATGACCCTGATCTGGTAGACGGCTGGCATCCTGGTGTTGGCAAGGTTCTTCCAGGAGCGGCAGTGAGGATCTGCCGGCCCGAAACACGGGAAATACTACCTCGATCGGAGATCGGAGAATTACACATTGGCGGGACATCTGTCGTTACGAAATATTTCAACAGGGGTGTTGATGGGTCCATTTACACTGATGAAACGGGCAACTGGTTAGCCACTGGAGACCAAGCCAGGATCGACGAAAAGGGCGTCGTGTATATCCTTGGCCGGTACAAGGATTTGATTATTCGTGGTGGAGAGAACATTTACCCTATCAACATCGAGCGGGAACTCCAGCAGCTCAATGGCTTGCAGGTAGGTTGAACATAAATCCATGCATTCCCTGTGTCTAACTCTCCCGCAGGTTCAAGTCATCGGAATACCAGACGATCTTGCTGGCCAAGTCCCCGTTGCTATCGTCGTTTTACCCCAAGACATGACTAAAGCGCAAGTCATGGAAAAGGCAAGGAAAGCCGACCAACGCTATGCCCTCGACAGCGTTTACACCCTACAGGAGCTCGGACTAGAGAGGTTCCCGTTGACAGCTCTCGGCAAAGTCAAGAAACAACAGCTCAAAGCGCGAGTGTTGGAGCATCGACAAGCGAACAGCACAACCAAGACTCAACTCAGCAACGGAGCATCGACACCGCCTTTCGTCGACAAGTTGCTTGGCATCTGTGAGCAACTCACTGGTACTCGGCCCTCAATAACGGAGAGTTTCAAGTATCTCGCCGACAGCATTACTTTGCTGCGTTACTGTGACCATGTTCTTCGTATCTGTGGCCAAAGACTCTACCTGCAAGACTTTGTCGAGAACGATACAATCGAAAAGCAAGCGCATCTTCTATTGTCTCGGAAACTACAACAAGCTCGCCTTGTCGTTACCCCAGAAGTCACCCGGTATAATCCGCCCTCGTCCAAACAAGAAACTCGAACCTCCAGCTCCAGCTCTGGATTTACGAGTACCCCAGCCGAGGAGAAGGACACGTTCTTCTTTGCCAAACGAGCGGTAGTACGTGCAGGCTTCTCCCCTTCAGACATCGAAGACGTGCTACCGATCAGACATTCGCTCCATCGGACGGCGATTGGGTCACGGCCGCAGTCCTACCACAACCGCATGGTGTTTCGCGTTTGCAACGTTGCGCAGCATCAGATTCTGCGCGCCCTGCAAAAGGCGCTGGACTCGAGGCCGATGCTCAGGACGATTGTGTTCCCTGCCTCGAATCGTGTTCCGTTTCACGCTGTTCTTGTAACCAGCTCCGCACTAGTTGATCAGCTTGTTCACGAGGTCGAGGTTGACTCTGAGGACGATGCGTGGAACATCTTCAGAGACGATTCTTCGCCGGCGCATTCGTCGCCTTTTATGTTTCAAACTGATGTTGTAAGAACCATGTCAGATGGTCAGCTGTTTCTGAGTTTCACGTTCAATCACTCTGTTGTTGATGCGCTTTCCATCACTCAATGGTACCACGAGCTCGATCACTGGATTCAAGACATTAACACCGATATCCCAGCCTTGACCCCATTTCGGTTATTCTCCGACCTTTTCACGCAGTATGAAGACAGCGAGCCTGCGCGAAAGAACATTGCATTTCATACACGCAGACTTCGTGGCATCTCTCGCTTCAGTGGCGCCTTGTGGCCACCTCAGAAAGCTCCAGGCCTGCTTATTGCCAACGACGAAGGCTCTCCGCTTGCAAAGGAGCGTCGCCAGGTTCGCGATAAAGTCTGGAATGGCAAATGGGATACTCGCGCACACGAGTTCCAATACCCACGTTCTGGTCGAGTCCTTGCATTGTCGGGTCTCACAAAACTACAGGATGAGCACAACATTCATCCGTCACTTTTCACCAAAAGCGCCATAGTACTGTTCAATGTTCTCCAGACTGGTTCATCCCGCGCACTGCTCAACGTCTGGGAGAGCGGACGCTCTTGGCCTTTCATTCCGAAATGGATGGACAAGCTTCTTCCGCCAGCAATGAGTATTGACGGTCCTACCGTTCAGTGGGTGCTGAACATGACCGAAGTGGCTCGTAACGAGACTGTGCTCGAGTTCCTTCAGCGCTTGTTGGCTGAGAGCGAAGAGACAAAGGAGCATGAGCATGTTCCTTGGAACAAGGTTGTTCAAAACCTCAGTGACGAAGGGCCAGCTGCACTCGATGCATCATTCAGACAGTCTTTCGTCTGGGATGTTTCCCTAGCCATGAGTCTTGCAAAAGGACCTCAATCCGATTTCACTTCTCTCGAGCCCATTGCTCGCTATGACTGGCCTGACTGGTAAGCCCAAGCCTTCCTACTCGTGGACCTACAACTAACACATCGGATAGTGGATTTTTCTGGAACGCGTTTATGATTGATTCGATCAACTTGTACTTTATTGCTTCTTGGGACACGGCGCAAATGAACGACAAGGAAGTCGAACGACACTGCGATGATTTATCGGATGTAATGAGAAAACTGTGCGATGAATGCAACTGGGACAAGAAGTTGAGCGATGTGTTTCGATTATGAGTAATTATGGGATTACAGATGGGAAAACGAAGGAGTTGTTCGGGGTAAAGTATTGGGCGTGATGCTTCGATACATATGAGAGTTATGACGGGTATCATGATGGGGTCGCGGCAGAATATTGGGAGGCGTTGTCAATGTCTTTTCTGTCATTTATTTTCTAATCTTTTACATTTTGAGTCCCAAGTTTATGTCAATTTGTTCTATCCAGGTACCAAAGGGCAATTCGGCGCCCCTTAGACACCAATCCTATCCATGTCTAGACCTAATCAAAGCATACCTCAACAACCGCCGTGTTTCTATATTACACAAAGACCCATTCAATCCTCTCAAACTTTATGGCCCCGGTTCATAGAGGAGCTCTTAGAGTCCCGTTTCCAATATGAAGGATGCAGAGGACTCACCTCCCGGTTCGGATCAGGCCGGAACGTTGTCAGTTTTCTGAAGCGTGCAGTCGTGGTGAGTGGTTCAGGAACCGTTTCGGGAGCCCAGAGGTCACATTCCTCCCGATGTGTTTGAGTCCCATCTCTCTCGCTAAAAGCCAAAGCATCACTGACGATACCCATGACTTCAAGGACGATAGAGGAGCGAAAGTTCTCGTGACATAGGACATAAATCCACTCTGCTTTAAGCTCATCAGCAGTATTGTAGTCCTTCTTAGAGATGAACCTCTTGATATCATCATCCATGAGCGCAATAGCAGTGTGGATAATTCCGCAGTCTGCCGCTGGACTCGCTGGGCTCAGTTGAGGCTCGAATTCATTGTAGACATGCGAGAGAAAGTCTTCAAGGCGGAGAAGACCAGCCAAATCTCGAAATTTGAGTCCTCGATCCTCAGGGCGCCCCTTTTCGTCCTTTCTGATAGTCAAGTGACATGTCCAGAGCCTGTCCTTGTTGTTGGGACGCTTTACAGGAATTATACACCCGCAAAGCATCTTGGGTGACTTGCCACATGTCCCCATGTCGGTTCGGAGACGCAGTTCCAGAGCACGGAGACGACGACTGAGTGCTTGTAGGTGGTTTTCTACGAGGACTGGGTGATACTCTGGTCGAAGCTGGGGAAGCATGCGACCAACAACGACATCAAGCATCAGGTCAACTGCAGTTCTCAGAACTTCAATATCAGAAGTGACACAGTTCGGCTGCATTCGAAGCATAAGATCCCAAAATAGCTGGGTTGAAAGCCAAAGATCTTCGTATCGAGCTTTGACGTCGTCCATCTTTTCTCACTGATCATGAAACTTCTCCAGGAACTGTGGCCCCTGAAGGTTGAAATCTCGAGAAAAGTAGCCTGCGATCGGTGAGCGAAACTCTCTAATACTCAACAGCTGTAAGTCTGCAGGGCCACCAAACATACTCGCTGGACTGGCAATTCTCGAGTCGACGAGCTCTCGGAGGCTTTGATTTACTGCTTGCGGTGAAGAAATAGGTCGGGCTTCTTCGGTTTCCATATTTCGCTCAGAGCTCTGGGCCGGCTGTAGTGATTGTTCTCCTGGGAGTCTAAGATCTGGAGTAAAATAGCCAGTATCAGTTGAGCGAGGATCGGATATATGAGACAGTCTAGAGTTGTCAGGGGAGCCGAACATACCTGCCAGACTCTCGATTCTCGAATCAATGGTCTCTGTGCGAGGCAGATTCTCAGCCTTCGAACCAGGACGGGATCCTGACGCGATAGTAGTGTCTCCCTAAGAGCTAGATCTCGAGTTCATCTGGAATCAGGCTTGATAGAAGCTGAGATGGAAGATTCATGGGGGTTGGAGAGGGGATGCTTGAGAAGTTCAGACGGAACGGACTCGTCAAAGATTTCTGCAAACTTAGACTTTCTGGTAATACTTCGCTTGGTGGAATTTGAAGACTGGCGACTCAACTCGACACTCATTCTTGAAGGAATTTGGGTTGGGTTAAGTCCATTGGGGCAGTATGGGTTATGGCTTTATATACTCAGAGAGTGAGAATTGGCCTCTCAATCCTATAGAAACATGTGCATGTGAATTGTGAGTGTTTTGGGCTGGACAGATACTCGTTACCTTGAATATTGTCCCTCAGTTTAACATCATAACTTGCCCAGGTGAACCAGACCGTTCAGCAAAGAACATCGACCACATTGACATTTCTACCATACGTTCTCACACAAATCATCTTTACGACTAAACTAGCTTCACATTCATAGGACATTAACATAATCATCAAATGGCAGTAGTCCATCTGTTGAACAAAAAGTAAATTCACAGCACTCTCTTCATGTTCAGGCCCTTTGTTCAAGTACTTTCCAGCTCACACTCCCGCTGTTCCCAACCTTCACCAAATCGGGCTTGTATAAGAATCTTCAGCTTCCCAACACAAATTATCTTGCCGCTTCCTTCACATCGACAACTTTGACAACAGAGCTGAAGTTTTTGTTTGCTTGTAGGCCTTGTCTACTGACGGCCGCTACCTCTTACCACACCTATCTGAATTCCAACAAGCCTCCAAAAGCTCCTTCTCCATACTGTGTCTGGAAGTTATTCAGTCCTTCCACTGTCACCGACATGAGTTATTCCAGCGGTCGCGAGCACTACCACGAACCTCTTCCCCTCCGTTCTGGGACTCGGCCACACCATACCCTACTCTTCTCGCAGCGTCCTCGCGACAACAGGCCTAAGCCCATCAATCTCAGTCTAGTCTCCAAGTTCGACGATTACGACCTCCCTGTTACTTATGCGTCACCTCCGGGTCCTACCACCGCAGAGTTACAAGCAGAGATCAACGCAGAGTTCGGCGCTCTGATAGGAAACAGGAGGCCGCCTGGGGGAGAAGATTTCCTACAACAGAGGGCTCGCCTTCGTCATGTCCCAAAGATCGAGCGTCCTTCGGTTAATATCCTGGAACCTCCTTCTCGGGGATATTGGGCGCCTCTCTCTTCAAGCTTTGAAATCCTCCCGTCCGAGGGCAGCGCATCACCAACTTCAGAATATCGTACTCCGGCGCGAATTCGAAAAAGCTTTCCCAGAACTCTAGACCTCGAATTGGCAGATCAATTTCAAGGACCTCCCTATGGAAGCAGCTCATCATCGCCTCAGTACAGTCCAGTGTCTTCATCTGACAGCGACAGTTCAGTTCTGTATATGCGTCCGATAGAGCGCGTTCCCCTTCTCCCTTCGACTGCCAGATCACCGATTGCTGGTATCGCGAGGCCATTTGATACGCTACAACCTGTGGCTCAACATCCCCACAGACGCAGTTCATACTTAAATGACCGCTATAGTTATTCAACTGGAGAGGAACACAGGCCATCCAAGGAAGACGCCAGGGAGACGTGGGGTCGCGCATGTCTCGACTGCTTGTTCTTCGGTGTCTTGTTGGTGTTATTCACGTTCGCTATCTTTTCGTATGCTTGCATCCTTCTTTTTGTTCTTCCGCAACTGGTCACGTCCATAACGAGCAGGGGATCATGATCAGAATCTGGGGTATGGTTGGACAGCTATGTGCATAGCAAAGTGGGCATAATACTTCGAAATTGCGTGGCGTTTGGTGTGTATTGGGGTTTATCAGCATTTGAAGCTCCCCATCAATAGACGGACCTAACTCGTTAGAACTACGAGGTAATAACTAAACAAAGTGTATTTGACTTGACCGGCCAGGGCTACCATCTTGTGAATGAGCAACCATATAAGTATATTGTGCTAATATATCCGCTGGTATCAAGCGCTGCAGCGCATGCTTCCCAATCTACTACTTGTACATGTTGCCAAATTAACATTAGACTTCTTTCTCCTCTTGATCTATCGCTTGTTCTCGTTTCCCGGTGCTAATCTCCATGCCCGCAGAGGTAGACTCTGAAGGTGCAACACCTTTGGCTTGATGTACCAGAAGAAGGTTGCAGCACCAAACAGGACACATAATATGTTCACTGTATAGTATCCGTCGTGGATCATGTGGCATGTTCCGCCGCCGGCCTCACATCTCTCCTTCTCAGACTGAACAGCGCATGAGAATGCATCTTTGATAAGTGTGCCCTTGATTGTCGTGGCATCTGACTTGCCAGGTTCGCACGTAGCCACAGTGAAGCTGTCAACGAGCCGGAGCACGAAATATCTAGGGAATGTGCCGCCCAGATTGCAAACACTGCAAATTGTTAGCTTAGTACCGGTGAGATATGAGTCAGGTGTTACTTACGTTGCAAGGAGTGTCATGTAAGTGCCGCCAATGACCGGGTCAGACACTCGCGCATGGAAAGCAGAGACAGCGACAAACATGATTGTGTTTGTGAATGTTGAGAAAAGGTGTTCAGCGATGACCACCAACAGATACCATGATGTAACTCCTTCATCGGGGAAAATAGCGACGACAAATTGGGCAGAGAGAGCAGCAACAAGTCTGCCCACAAATCCCCAGCACCAAAGGCGCATGGGTGTATACTTTTGCGACCACATTCCGGCATAGTAGCCCAGACCAATCTCGAATGGGAAGTCGATGAGAACTGTCAGTGCCATATTGTCCTTGCCAAAGCCCTTGTCGAGGAGCTTCAAGTTTGTAACGCCGTCGTTAGCCTGGAAGCCAATCTTGGCAATCAGATGAACAATGATAATGGTCTGGACGTTCTTGAGCTTGAGAATACCCCACATGATGCGGTAGACGTCCCAGACTCCATCTTCGTTCTGCGACTTGTCCTCCTTCTTCAAAAGGCCAAGTCCAACGGTGACAATGATGTATGACCAACCCCAAAACTTAAGATATCCCCCCAGTGAGAGAAGGCCATCATCTGAGGGAACCGCTCTGAACCACTTGTTGGCAAAGTCAGCAGCATTGAAGGCGAGGAATACAGTGTATGACATAAAGTGGCCTGCAGTGAGACCAACAGTCTGCGCAGTTGAAGCGTATGACACGTTTCCAGGGGTCAGAAGAGTGAGCGCCCAGCCGTCCACAGCGATATCCTGGGTGGCACACATGAGGACGAGAAAGAACCACCAAAGCATGAACGAGAACGCTGTCATGCCGCCAGGCTTACCAGCGGAGGCCATCATATCTTCCACATGAGATCCTAACCAGAGCATACCGAAGCCGGAGAGAAACTGAATCGGGACGATCCATGTCTTGCGCCGACCAATCTTGGGACTCCAAACGGCGTCCACGAAAGGACTCCAGAACAGCTTCAGAGAGTAAGGGTATGAAGCAAGACTAAAGATACCAATTTCGCTGTATGACATATGGTTCTTCAGCAAAAAAGGCACAGAGCCTGTGGCCAAGCCCATGGGGATGCCCTGCAAAAAGTATAATAGCACCAAGAGGAGAAAGTTCCTCTGGTCTTGTCGAGGAAGATCGAAGAAACCATGATTGTTAAGAGAAGGGGTCTTTGGGATCGGATCGTCGAGGGAAAAGGACTCGCTCTTGATGAAGTTGGCCGCAACGTTATCGACGTCTGGGTTGGCCGACTTGCGGCGCATCTCTACTCCGCTGCTCATTTTGCCGTTGCCGTTAAGATGATCGTGTCCATTCGCATCCTCTGCTTCTGTCTTGATCGTCAGGGGCGGCCGGGCGGGTTTGTTTTGAGGTCGTCGAGCCCTGGCGGTCATAGGGGCCAAGAGTAACGGGGTTCGGGACTACGGCACGTAACAGTATCAAGGAGTGGTAGTACCGTGGAAGGATGTAAAGGAGGGTTGAACGAATGCGACGAGGCGTCAAAAGCGTCAAAGTCAGATGCGGGTGGGTGCGAGATGTCTTGTCGTGACGTATAATATGGAGAATTTCAAGGATAGGGGGTCGCAAGTTGTGAAAAGCCAAGAAGTAGAATTCAAAGAGAAGTGAAGAATAATGTTTGAGTGAGTGAGCGAGAGAATGTACTGTAGTTGAAGGAATGAAGAAGAAATGGAAGACTTGTATTTGTCAGTTCCTGGAGTGCTGAGCTAGGTATTTTAGGCCAGTAAATCTGAAGCGGGCCTCAGATACAGAAGGTCACTGCTGGCGTGCGTTTCGGATACGGTTTGGCGTATAAAAAAAAAGGGAACCTGGCAGGCTCCCGCTACCGTGGCCTTTAATGGTGAAGTATGATTGGACTGCTTGCTGGAGATGGATCTAGGGTCTTGAATGGGAATAGGTAAGGATGATTCTTCTACCTGGCCTCTTTGCAAAGCTTCAGTGGCGAAAGATATCAACTACCTAGGTACGTAAGAGATATCTCAATAGGTGTCACGATAGCGGTCGGAATAATCTAAACCCTCTATATAACTTATTCAAACCGTTG